CACGTGAACAGTGCAACCGCTTACGGGAATGTGTGCCAGCATGTGGTTATGTGTGAGTGAGAATGACAGATGCGTTGCAAATTGCTTGCAAATATGCACGGATCAGATTAAGGATGGGATGTTAACCGATGCACCAGCTTCCCGAAGCAACGCAAAAATCATTGCTGTTTTTTTAACCCATAAATCAGAGCAGTATGCGCCAATGCATCGTATGTCAAAGCAGTCAACTCAGAGAAATTCGCGATCTTCGGACGTAGGACTGATATTTAGTGTCTGAAGACTCAAACGGCTACTTCCGTTGCCCGCCCGCTGAGTCTGGCGGCCGTGAGATGCCCCTGCCACCCTGCCACCCATGTTCCAGCTTTGCCTACCACTGACCGTGAATACATTTCTGGCGCAAGGTTCCAGCCGCAGGGAGGCGCTGACAGCAGTTGGCGATGTCAGTCGTTCGGGACACGATTTCGCTATGTCGAAAACATTCGCGGACAGCACGACCTCCGGGACCTGTGCAAACACGGACATCAATCACAGCTTTCAGCAGCAAACGCATTCCATCGACGCGACACGAATGATGCGACAAGGAGCCAAGCAAGCCAGCGACGCAGCGTGATGCAGGCTTTCAACTACCATCGCCATGGCGCTCCAGCGGCCGAGCGCGCCCGGTGGGTGACCCTTTCGATGAGCGGGCGGTGGTCGGCGTGACACCGGCAGCCCGGCCGACGCCGGGTGCCCACGCGCTGACCTGGTTGCAGCGGCCGCCGCCGGCCCACACCAAGCCTGGACAGCGCAGCTGCAGCCGGTCACCAAACCAGACGTGTCCATCGACGGCCGGCAGGAGGCGGACCGGTGCCAGCAGCTGGCCGATTATGGCGTCCGCCTTCTGTGAACGCGCCACGGTCGTCCAAGCCCGGCGTATGTCGTGTACGGTGCGGTGGAAATGCACCGGTACATTTGGTTGCTAAGCAACACTTTTTGTACTTGCAATGTGCGTCAGGTCATAAGATGGCATGAAATGCTTGCGGCATACGCACGTTTCTGCAAACACGAGTCATTTGTGAGCGGTCTGTGGCCCTGCACTGGGGTAAATCAAGGTCCAGGAGTCCTTAGTGCCCAGACCGGAGACAGGAGCAACTGGATCGATAAGGCCTTACGTCCCCTATTACTAAATAATATTCCAAATGGCTTTTGCAGACCACCTCAGGCTCGTGACAAGCTTGACAAAACATGCACATTAATCTGGCAAGCACAGAGCGCTCTTCTAGTTTCACGGCGCTTGTGGCAGGCCGGAGCGGCGCAGGGTTTTGCAGTGCTGCAAGACGGGCGCCACGCAGCTAGCCGGCCATCTGTGTTCACTGGACAGTTGTCCAGTAGTCTGTGCCGGGGTAATGAAACAATTCTTAATTTTGGGCACGTGCCTACGACTGCTCGATCAGCTGATTACTCGAGCTGGGAGGGGCTTATGCTGCGATGTTATCTCCTACTTCTCGCCAAGAGACTTAGATCAGACCATGCCAACCAACAGCAAGACGGTAGATCTCCGTACCTGGACCATCAACTCCCCCCTTTCTCTCCGGCGCAGGAAATCCCGCACGCAGTCGTCCTTCCGGAAGCGGTCTTCGAACCAGTTGCCATTCTGCGTGCACGGCTTGTAGCGGCAGACCAGCGGCCGCACATCCCGCGAGGGCATCTTAGGCACCGCCATGGCCTTCTCCCACTTGTGCTGGACCTCTGTTGTTGCACCTCAGTCGACAGCGGGCTGGAAGTGACGTTTGTGGGACATCGAAAAAACGCGTACCGGAAAAAGTATATTTCAATTCGCTTTCACGATACTCATTTAGATACCTTTACATGTAAGATGACAGTTTAGCTACTAGCCTGACTTGTTTCCACACAGATGCTTCCGGAGAGAGGCGTGCAACACGCCCGTAACCTCGCAAGCAGCCGGAGTACGGCTGAGGGGTAAACTTTACGTTTAAATTGTCACAAAAATCTGACAAAGCGCTTCCAACTTCCGCTGATCTACTCAGGTCGTTGGGTGTTGTGATCTATGGAAGGAGCATGTTTTCGATTAAAGTCTCACCTGCGACAAGCGACGGGTCAGTGCATCTCCTTCCGGCGATGAAAAAGAAGTGGTGAGCGGGAAGCTCACGTCTGTGCGTACCAATGCACCCTTCGTGCTGAATTCAAGTCGTTTGTCGAATACCTCGCATGAGGCACCAATTTTGCTCGTCTTCGCATCCGTTGCCAACAGCTTCTACTTTTTTGTGTGCGAAAAGACGTGTATGGAAACCCCGGAATCCCTTTCATCAATCGATTTTTTTTAGCAATGAAGTGTCAATGCGTCTCACACTAAACGCTGCCTCGGTCTCCCACCTTGCAAACCGCACGAACGCTGCAAACGATATTTACACCTAACAGGCGCAGCACGATACGAGCACTCGCAGCTGAAGGGCAAGAACACGATAGCTCTGAAAGCTTGTGAAAGTTGTCTACGCGCCGACATCTACAGCAATTACGCCGCGAAATCTCGTAAATTCCATGACAAACCACCCAGTCTCGGATATTTTTCTCCGTCAAGCCCAGAAAGGGAGTTTCATAGCAGAGTGGGAACGGACTACGAAATGGGAACTCCTTTATTTAGTTAACATCTTCTGTGAATACATCATACACAGTAAAACTAAGGATGCGGTTCTAAAATTTCCTTTCTCAGATGGCCATGATAACTTGAGTCATCTTAGATGACGTTTGCGTGTCAAGACATAATGCAACTATTACATGCGTCACCAGGCCTTTGGAACGGGGTCCACTTGATACACAGGTTTCACAGCATTTAGCAATGCGATGAAAGACCCATTGCATATGATCTAGGTAAATGACTTGCTGCTATTTACTAAAGTTCGCTCTCTCACTGAAATAAACCGCAGCATAATTGGGTACAAGCACCAACATACATGTCACATACCGCGATATCTCATCTCAAGAACAAAAAACGGAACCACTGTTCACGGATCCACCGGCAGCTAAATATGACTCGACGCACCCAACTCAGCAGTGCTTACGCAATACGGACGACAAACATACACTCAAGTGCGCGCAAACTCGAACGCTACAGACATGCACCAACGAAACGGACAGCCAGCTCGTGGCACACATAAATGACAAAACTTGCACGCGGACTTCGTAAGATCATCCTGCATCCAGACGGCGCTACAGCCAGGTGGACGTCAACGCGCCAGGATCCAGCCAAACCGCGGACAAGACTGCTGCACTACCCTGCGCTACTGCCCGTGGTGCAAAACCCGGTCGTAACACCAGCTGCAACCGCGCGTGGCCGCAGCAGCCCGCCGCTCGAAGCGAGCAAAATAGCGGGAAGTCGCGGAGCACGGCGGAACGCCACGTGCTTGGTTCCGCAGTTGCAACAACATTCTCTCGCACTCAGCTAATTAACACCGGCTAAATAAGAATTCAGTGGAGACGACATTTCCCGATACTAAAAGGGTTGAACGAAAACGTAGCAGGTAAGAACAAGTTTCGGCTTGGCCCATACAAACTCAGCACGTTAAAATAAACGCTCCACGCCATTCAAAACGCGAACGGCCGAGAAGCGCGTCCATCTACTCTAAATCCCCCCGGGCATCCCGCACTGGTGCTCCGTCAGCTCTCCAAGAGAGCGTCCACAGCAGGCTGGCCGCACGTTCACTCGTAGGCGCGCAGCCTCCGATTCCGCCCGTCCGCTCGATCCCGCACCGACACAATGCGCCGGCCGACGCCGCGCCTGGTCCGCCTCGCGTTTCTTCGACACGAGGCGGGGCCGGGCGTCGGCGCGGCCGGCCTTGACTCCGTCCGGTGCGCCGCGCGCCATCCCCGACGAGTCTCACCGCCGCGGCCCGCCGGCTCACACCAGGTCGGCGCCGCGCGGCCGGCGGCCGGCCTCCTCCGCCTCCGGCGAGACCTCCAGCAGCGTCGGCTGGACGGCGGCGGCCTCGACCGGCGGCGGCTGAGCGGCGGCGTCGCCCGGCGACACGACCACCACGATCGGCTCCACGGGGCCGGCGGCGGCGGCCGGCTTGGCCGGCTGGTGCACCGCGACGCCCACGTCGTCCTCTGCCGGACACACAGGCGGCAACGCTCAGACACGCGCCCAGTGCCGGCCGTCACGAGGCCGAGGTTACACTCCGCTTCCTGAGCCTAGGAGATGGGCGACTCCAGTGCGTGGAGAGTGCTTCGGCCCGGTATGGCGCGGGAACTGAACTGATTCTTGCCAGGGCATTGGGAGAACGATATCGAGGAAGCTGTTTACCGTTCTAGCTAATGTGTTCCACAGAGTCATTACGCGAGCCTTAAATAACGACAGGTGGTACCACTGGCGTGGTGGAGCGAACGGATAACATCAAATAACGTGAACTCTGAGCCACTACGGCTGCGGGCCGGCGGAACGGACCGCGGTCCACGAACTGAACCACACCACTGAGCCAGACACTGCGCCGCCGATGACGACAGCGGCACAGGACGAACCGGAGCGGCTGACCACGGGCCGTCGTGCCGTGCCGCGCGGCTCCTCACCTGGCTGGTCCTCGGGCCGTGGGCCGGCGGCGGCCGCCGCTGCCGCCTGCCTCTCGCCCCCGGCAGCGGCGGCAGACCCAGACGCATCCCCGGGCTGGCCGCACACGGCGGGCGCGGTCAAACGAGACACCGCGCGCTCGACGTGCGCGGCGGCGACGAAAAAGCGGAAGGGGTAAAATGCAACGGATCGCGCTGCACTAAGTGCGCAGGCCTATGTACTCGCCGGCCGGTCATGCTTACCGACACGCAGCCCGGACGATAGCGATCACCCAGACGTCTGACGCGGATCAGTGCGACGCAACGTGCCGCTCCCGACAGCCACCGCAGTATGCATACGACAGACCGCGATCGAGTAATGGGAAACCCGCAACCAAGCGATCGGATGCCATCGATTCGGCCCCATGCATAAAATACGCGGAAATGGATACATCACTATTCGGTGCCGCATTCCCCGGTGACGAAGGGTGCGCTTCTGCCCTCTGTCATTATCACGATCACTATATAGTACAGACAGAAAAGATGATTACTGCTGCCAGACCAGTGGCAGGCCCGGTCACGCGGCACCCCCAGCCAGGGGCGGGGCTCGCCGACAGACTGTGACGTCCGCCCACGCGGCTCACCGGCACCACGAAGGTGGGCTCCTCCTCTTGGAGGGCGTTTAGACCATCGGCTGGCTGGGCGGCGCGCGCCATCATCGCATCCAGACGCTGCAGACGGCGGGAGCGGCGGGCCTGCAGGGACCACGGCGCACACGGCTCAGCACTGGCACCGACGGGGGAGGCGGGGCGGGACAACTCTCGAGAACCGCAGGGCACATGCAGGGCCGCGTCAGCGCCACGCACAGGAGCACGGACGGATGATGCACGGCAACAGGGACCGCACGTGTCAGCGCAGGGTCAGCACCAGCGCAGAAGGCAGAAGCACGCCAAGACTCCCGAGACCACGCGGCCCATGTCAGCCACCAGCCAGAGCCAACGGAACAAGCCCTGGCTGAACGGCTGGAGACCTCCTGACCGCGGCAGCCGGCACCCGTTGTCGGCGAGACCAGCCATCGGGGCCGGCTCTCCGAGGGCGGTCGGGACACTTGGCGGGCTGGGGAGTGGCCGGGCGGCGTCCTGGCGCTCGGCCGCACCACTAACCCTGTGCGGGCGGCGCGGCGGCTGGTCCCTGGCGGAATCGTCCCGTGACGTGGCGGCGGCAGCGACGGCAGCGGCGGCAGCCGGCATCCGGCCGCGGCCCTGCAACACACAGCGACGGCGGCGCTAGCTGCGGCCAAACGCTGCTCTCAAATCACAGCAAACTCCACAGCACACCACACAAGTAGTGCACCCTATGACCCTAGCTGAAACATGCTATTTGTCCCGTACAGCGCATGTTGCCGCACTCCGCTCCTGTCCTCCTAGGCAGCGCCACGCGCTGCCTAGGAGGACAGGAGTCGGGCCTTACCGACGCAGTCGCGACGGCCGATTCCAGCGGAGCGGAGTCACCCAACCGGTCAAGCAGCGGGAGCATGAGAGGCGGTGAAGCCAAGGCGAGGTCAGCTTGCCCATCAGCGCAGGCCCGGCGACCGGGTCCGTCAGCGACAGCGGCGCGGCACCGGCCCCGCCCCCGCCTGTCGCTCACCGTGCCGGTGGTACCGTAGCCGCGCCGCAAGCGCCGCTCGATCAGCGGCTCGCGCTCGTGGTCGGTGGGCGCCTCGTCCGAGTCGGACGACGCCTCCGAGTCGCCGCTAGCGCGCACACGCTGCTTGCAGACGGGACAGACGCGGCGCGAGCGCGTCAGCCACGGGTCCACGCACTTGGTGTGGTACGCTGCCGGCGGAGCGGGGACACACCGGGTCACACGAGCCGCCGGCGCCATCGACAGCGCCGACGGCTGGCACGGCATGCACTGTGGCCTCGCTGGCGCATGGGGAAGCCACATATGTGTGGTCCTCGTTCGGGTTGCGGACGAAGTAATCCGCCCGGTGTCATAAAGCCCAGTACGAGTCCCATAACCTATGATGTAGACGCACGTGCGAAGTGCATTCACTTGCTTCAACGATGATGCAGACAGTCGAGAAACTGTTGCTAACACGCATGGAGCCCTCTCAATGCTCGGAACCCCTTCTCCATGGAAAAACAGCGGTCCCTTATTAGGAGGAACTACAGCAGATACTTTGAAAACACACCTCATGCTAAATACAGATTTGAAAGAGCCGTATTACCACAATCGTTTTTAATCCATGTGACGTGATTACTGAGCTCAGTTTAGGTCGAAACGCAGGTGTGCAGCAACACCGCTTGGTCCCTGCAGCACCCGACGCCCGCCACCGTGCTTTCACCACCGTGCCGTCCATAACAGCACACACCGCACACACGGCGGACACCCAGACGCCCAACCAGCGCGACGCCACCGGCGGAGAGGGCGGCGGCGCGCGCGCCCGGCCGCGCTGCGTACCGTGGTTACAGGGCAGGATCCGCAGCTGCTCGCCGTCCTCGTAGTCGTCCAGACAGATGGCGCACGTGTCGTACGTGTGCACGGCCTTGTCGAACCGCTGCACGGGCAGCGAGTCCAGGATGCGTTTGGGCAGCCGGTGGCGGCTGGCGCGCCGGTGGTCCGCGTAACACCGGTACACCTGGCGCAGGGGCGCGGCCGTCACAGCCCTGCGTAACACCGGTACACCTGGCGCAGGGGCGCGGCCGTCACAGCCCTGCGTAACACCGGTACGCCTGGCGCGGCCGTCACAGCCCTGCGCAACACCGGTGCACCTGGCGCGGTAGTCACAGCCCTGCGCAACACCGGTACACCTGGCGTAGGGGCGCGGCCGTCACAGCCCTGCGTAACACCGGTATACCTGGCGCAGGGGCGCGGCCGTCACAGCCCTGCGTAACACCGGGACACCTGGCGCGGCCGTCACAGCCCTGCGATGCACTCAGCGCGCGCCCACACGGCAAGCGCACATCTCGCGTTTAGAGAGCTCAAGGGGCGGCGCAATATGCGCCTGATGGCGACCGTCAACCGCGCGGGAATGCGACGGAGCCTGGACGCGAACGGTGTGATGTCCGGGCGGCTGTTTTATGACGCGTGTTATTGTCGCGGTCGTTAACATCGGTGTTTCCCCACGGCGACTCTAGGGAAGCCCTAATCCGAGTATTGGGAGGCTCGAACCCAAGGGACAATGGCACAAACCGCTGAGCGCGCAGCTCGACGCCAAGCCACCTGCAGCCGCGGGTGGACCTCGGACCTTAGGACCTCGTTCTTTGTCCGCCAATCGTGTCATGTGGCGACTCTCACTTGAAACATCTCCACACAAGTGTGCACAGGAGGAAATGCTACTCTGGCTACTCAGAAACAACGCATCATAGTAAGTCGGAAAAATAGCCTAAATCTTTGAGTGGCGGCCTCAACAAAACAGACACAACGCACACACAATCCAAACAAACTGGAACCCAACACGAGCTGTTGTCAGTCGTTATGGTTTCTCTTGGGGCACGAAGTAGTCCCCGTTACGCCTGTGTACCAGCTGTGACAGCACCCCGGCACTGCACCGTCCCTCCTGCGTCGTCTTTGCTAAGCGCAGCTTGTTGCGTGGAACATTGAACCGACCACCCAAGTTGTGCCATCCAGATTAACGGATGATTTTGCCCCCACCCTTTCGCCCGACAGGAGTGCGGAGGGTTGTGCGTGTCACCCAGTGCCGCGGTACGGCCGCCGCGGGGCTGGGCTGACCGTCGTTGGCCAGTTGCTAGCTGATCTTTCCACTTCAGTCGGACTAAGCCATTCGCCCGGCCTGGAACTCGTACATGGTGCCACTGGATTGCGACTTTAGCATTTTTCGCCTGAACGACAGCGACATCGTCCATTAGGTAACAAAAGAAAGAAAGAAAAAACGTAAAAAATCGAAGTTGTCGGGCGCACTCTCGGCACTGTACCAATATAACACCTCGTCTTGTTTAGTAGTTCCGATAATGTAAAGTGATAGTAAGGCGAGCGTCATCCCAGGTTAGAGTCACATAAAGTTAAAGCCAGAGGTTGACGTTAAGTCAGCCCACAAAACACATCAGCACAATTAATGGCACACACGTCCTCATCCCAAGGGGACGATCACTTCCGGTCAAGGTCAAGTTCACGTCCGACCAAATCTTGAAAATCGCTGCCAGTAATAAAAGCGGAGCTTTTATAATGCATCAGTATCGTCACGTGTGAGGACTGTAAGTACCCGGTCATCTCGGGCCTAAGTTCTGCTAGGTCCAGAGGTCGCCTCGGGTCGCCTCGCATTACCCGTTCGAAGTACATGAATACGTGCTTTACCCCGCAACAATTTCCTTCCGCGGCCGCGGCCTCCGCGGTATGCAGACACGCAAGCGACTTGACCTCATCTCGCCCAATTAGGCAGGTTAACTGAAGGGAACAGCTTAAAATGACCGCGGCAAAAGCTGCAGATCACACGCCGTCCACTGCGGCGCGTTTCTATTTTAGCTTCGCTACCGTGTGCAGGCAGCAGGTAGCCACAATGGCACAAGAGGCGGAGAAAACGCCGAATCTGGAGAAGACGGCCTGCGCAACGTTTAGCGAGGTTCAAAGCAAGGAATCTCACATGAAATTCAATTCCTGACGCGATGGTAAGCCCGTATATGCTGACAAGCCCATATAAGCCTGTATATGCTGACAAGCCCGTACAAGCCCGTATATGCTGACAAGCCTGTACAAGCCCGTATTGCTGACAAGCCCGTGTAAGCCCGTATATGCTGACAAGCCGGTGTAAGCCCGTATATGCTGACAAGCCCGTATAAACCCGTATATGCGATGATAAGCCCGTATGTGCTGACAAGCCCGTATATGCTGACAAGCCCGTATAAGCCGGTATACGCTGACAAGCCCGTATAAGCCGGTATATGCTGACAAGCCCGTATAAGTCCGTATGTGCTGACAAGCCCGTATAAGCCCGTATATGCTGACAAGCCCGTACGAGCCCGTATATGCTGACAAGCCCGTATAAGCCTGTATATGCTGACAAGCCCGTATAAGCCCGTATATGCAGACAAGCCCGTAGGAGCCCGTATATGCTGACAAGCCCGTATAAGCCCGTATATGTTGACAAGCCTGTACAAGCCCGTATATGCTGACAAGCCCGTATAAGCCCGCACATGCTCACAAGCCCGTACAAGCCCGTATATGCTGACAAGCCCGTATAAGCCCGCATATGCTGACAAGCCCGTATAAGCCCGTACATGCTGACAAGCCCGTACAAGCCCGTATATGCTGACAAGCCCGTATACGCCCGTATATGCTGACAAGCCCGTACGAGCCCGTATATGCTGACAGGCTTATCATCATTCTCAACACGAACGAGGCTAACCAGTCGTGCCTGGTGTAAACATCTTGCTGATGACGCAATCATAATGAACAAGGTACGCGTGGATCACTTTTTCGGCGCAGCGTTCTGCGTATAACAGCTGCATCCCGAGTGTCATTACGGTAATCCAAACAGTGGACTTTGGTACGGTGTTTACAAGAGCTGCAGCGATGGGCACTACATGCCTTCCATGACGAGCACTTTCCACGCCACTGTGAGAGAACGACTTCTACTGGGACAACCGGTCTTGCGTTCCCAGAACGTTTGCAGGAGCTCCGCACCCGGCAGATGGGAGGGGACGGTGGGGAGGAGGAGGGGGAGAGGGGGGTCGCCAGTCCCTTGCCCTCCGCCCGGAGAAAGTGGGGGGGGGGGGGGAGTTCCCTACACTCGAGTCATTGGCGGACTGACAGCCGGCGGAGGCTCACGCTATGCTGTGCAGTCGGCAAGCGGGAGCCGCCGACCAGCCGACGCCACCGTGCAGCAGCTCAGCCCAGGGGCGGGCCACAGCAGAGGAAGGGGTCAGGGCGCTACCGCAGGGCAGCTCGGCCCGGGGGCGGGCCACCGCAGAGGAAGGGCCAGGGCGCTACCGCAGGGCAGCTCGGCCCAGGGGCGGGCTACAGCTGAGGAAGGGCCAGGGCACTTCCGCAGGGCAGCTCGGCCCGGGGGCGGGCCACCGCAGAGGAAGGGTCGGGGCACTACCGCAGGGCAGCTCGGCCCGGGGGCGGGCCACAGCTGAGGAAGGGTCAGGGCACTACCGCAGGGCAGCTCGGCCCGGGGGCGGGCCACAGCTGAGGAAGGGTCAGGGCGCTACCGCAGGGCAGCTCGGCCCGGGGGCGGGCCACAGCTGAGGAAGGGTCAGGGCACTTCCGCGATGCAGCTCAGCCCAGGCCGTTCCCGCAGCAGAGGCTTCGGAGCGTTAGAGCAGCCGCGGCAACGACGCCCCGAAACGGGCCTCATCGCGGCCGGTCCTGACCTTCAGACTCCAAGTACACTGTTCCTGTCCCGGCAATGCGTCATGCGCCCGGACGGCGGCTCAGGCGTTAGGTGACGCCGCCTGCGGGGCTCTATAGCGCCCCGACCGTCGCCAGCGACCGAGCTCGGCAGCAAATAGCACAGGGCATTGGTGCACGCGGTCAAACGTAAACAGAGGGCGGATGCGCCTGACGGTGGGCGCGACCGTACGGACAGACCCGCCTGACAACGCCGTACCAGCCAAATATTGACTATCAGCGACCCAGCGTTCGCCGGGCGGGGGGGGGGGGGGGGGCGCGCCACGTCAGAAGGTCCACAACAGTGCAGAACCTTCCCGCAGTAGGTACCTGGCAGCGGTATGTGTACATAAGTCTACACATCAGTTAGTGCCCGTGAGCATTTCATATCTGCTCACTGTGGAAACCGCAAATTCGTTGGTCCAATGGTTTCATTCTGAACAGCAAAGCTCTCGCCTGCTGCCCGACGTTTCATGAGTGCCACAGCACGTGTCGTGGCCCACAAAATCCAACGCCGATAACGTTATGCCCTGGCGTAGAAGCACGAACTCACCAAGCTGTCAGCGTGGTGAGCTTGTGAGCTCTTATCGCACTACAAAATCGCACTTGACTTGGCACTTCGCACACTATCGCACTCCCTTGAAAACAATTATCGACATTCGCCGTTTGCGTCTGGACGCGGTAACCTGCGTGCATCAGTCCTCCACAGACCCCGTGCCGGTGTTCGATGGCGGGCCCGCAGGACCGACGCCGCGGGCCGAGCACTAACCATGATGCCGACGAGCACGACGAAGCAGACGGCGATGACTACCGCGAACGGTATCAGGTAGTCGGAGAAGTCGAACGGGTACCCGCTGGTGATCCTCAGGTGGTAACTGCCGAACAGAATCGTCCGTGCAGCTGGTCAAAATCAATCACCACAAAAAGCAAGCGAGACAGCGGCCAGTGGTCCGCCAGTTCCAACATCGTCCCGGTTCCTTTCTGATAGTGTTACTCAAGCCTACCAGCGTCGAGTCACACCAGCACCTGTGTGCCGCTGTCAGACGACAGGGCCGCTCGATTCGCCGCCGCCGCGCGGCGCTGCCCCCCACGCGTGACGTCACGCACCCGGATCCAGGCCGCGACCGGGCGCCGCCGGTAAACAGCAGCTATCGGCGGGGTCCACCACTGACACGAGCCCCGGCTCCGGCAGACCGTGGCACCGGTCTGCGTGCGCACCGACCGCCTCACTGGCTTATCACAGACGGCAGCCCCCGGCGTCAACTGTCGGAGCAGACGCCTGCGCTTTCTTCGTCATCTGGTGGGGCCGGTTGTGTACACTGTTCACGACGGAGGCGCGGAGGCGCCAGGCATAGTTGGCCTTGGGCCTTCTGATGGTTTGACCTCCTGCCGTCGCAGGTAAAGGCACCGCCTCTGCCGGCCAGAACTCACATAGAGGCGTTGGTGAAGCGGGTGAGCATGATGCCGTTACTTTGGCCCACGAAGAAAGACGGGATGTTGATCTTCTTGGAGCCGTCTCCGTGCATCGGAGCTGAAACGGGCCGGCGCCGTCATCACCTGGCGTCACAGGAGTCGGAGGCGATCCCGGACCCAGGGGTACATGACACCGACAATAGCACGGGCAGCACACTCTCAATTGTTCATAATTCCAGCAGTTGTCTTTGTTTCCTAGTCTCTATCCCCTTTGTCTTACATGTCTCCTGCCCTCTTGGTGGACGACGGCTTGCACACATCCATAGCATTGCAAAGTCCTTCAAAAGGCCAACAGACCTCACAAATGCGGCCCGCTCCTTCCAGCCCAGATCCCCTACCTCCCCCTCCCTCCCCACACTCACTAATGGCGTCCGAGTTGATATTGAAGACGATTGCAGCGCTGAAGCCGGCGTCCTGGGCGCGCGCCACCTTTTCCTGGAAGGTGCAGGCTCCGCGCTGGATGAGCAGCATCCAGCGGCGGCCGGTGCCGGTCGGCGCCGACACGTTCAGTGCGCCGCAGGCGGTCAGAGGCCGGCTCAGCATCAGCGGCCCCTGCCGGCGGCGCGCGGGGCGATGCGTCACGCGGACCCATCTCAGGTGCCTCGCCGGGCTGGCGCCGTGCGCAGGTCGGCCGGCCGGTGGAGAGCCGCACGCCAAATACGGACCAGGCTGGGTGAGGCATGCCACTGGCAACAGCGCGGCCTCGACATGCTAGGCGATTGCGTCCACAATACGTGTGCAAGGCGCGCATCTGTGCAGATCATCCTGAAGTTCCACTTAGCGCTAGCAATAGTCGATACAGGCAACGAGGTCTGGCATGAAGAGAACAGGATCCGAAGAGTTGCCCAAAAGCGTTGCGCAAACAGGTTAAAATAGCGGCACCCCACCCGGGGCTCCACCACCATCACCACTGGCTGCACCCCCGTGGCCGCTTGGCGGTAACGTATGGCAGTCAAACCAGCCAGCAGCCCGCCGTCGGCCCCGCCGCGCCCGGCACCGCTCTCACCCCGATGCCATGTGCGCCGACTTCAGGCCCGAACGCCGACGGCGCGTCCTCCATTGAGGTCACGGTGATGTTGATGTCATCGTTGATGACGTAAATGTCGGCGGCGGCGCCGCGCAGCTGGGCGCAGAGGAACCGGCCGCCAGCAGCGCGACCAGGCAGCGGCCCACCATGGCGGCGGCGGGAGGGGGCTGCCGCTGCGCCGTTCACGGTCGGCCGAAGCTGCAGCCTGCGGCGGCGGCACCACGCGCGTCACCGCCACCGCGCCAGCCAGGTCAGCCACGTGAGCACCCGCCAGGCCACATACCAATTTGGATCAGTAAGGGGGCTTTCTTTTGGGGGATGCCCAGAAAGGGATCATGATGTGAAAGGAGTCTGGAGGAAGTGTGGTGCAGTCACAACAGAATCTCTGCCTTGCCTTTGTCCAGTTGTTTTGTAGTACTTTTGAGATCCAAATCACCCTACAATCAGCTGGGATATGCAACTATTCTGGTGTTGAACCAGGTAACACTCCTTCACCCTGGACAATGATGGAGTATCTTCAATCCAGTCCCCTACTGCATTATGATATGCCCTCTACACATGCTGGTGACAATGCAGACTAACTCACTGCCAAATCACTGAAAGCATGAAATCTATTGATTCCATTTTGTTAAGCAGACTGTCCATGGTACACAAAAGTCACCAACAGGTGCAGATGTCCCTTGCAGGGAAGAACAGAAAACAGGAACATAGAGCATATCCTGGAGATATCTGGTGTAAATATATATATATATATATATATATATATATATATATATATATAATCTATCCTGCCACTGCACATATGACATCATTGGTGGCCAGCTGCATTTTCCATGAATGCTCCAGAAATGTATAACATGGAATAGATTCTGGTATGATTATAAGGCATATCCTTGTTTTTAATTTTAATAATTCATATTTCAGCATCATCATAATCATAACCATAATCATCATCATTATCAAACAGCCCTTAAAATGCACAGCTTGAGCCATGTATCATATGCAAGGTGCAGCTGCCTAGCAAAGATCATTTGCTTCCTGCACTGGTACCTTTGATGGCCAAAACACCATTATTCCAGGAAAAATAAGCAAAAATTGTGAGGTAGCATATGCTCCAGCCATTGCAGGTTTTATCAGCATGTTTTGATAACACACAAACCTAAAGTAACATATCAAAGATATCATAAACAGCAAAATGCACTTGTCTTCATCCTAACAATACAAAAAAAAGTTTGGTATGTTCACTAGCAAAGCTAGCAAAATAGGATTAACTAATCAAATACCCCCAGGAAATGGCAACTGTCCATGATGACCTAGCTGGTAGAAAATATCTATGACATGACCATGCAGATCTTGTGATAAAATTAGTATGCAGAATATGGATAAAAAACATGGAACATTTTCATTTAAAAAAACTAGACACATCCTGCAATAAAATTGGTTAAATGCTATGTCACACTGAACACCTTTGCATTACAACAAGCTTAGAAAGTGCGATGGACCCCACGTTATTTCTGCAGACTGCTAAATCCACCTTATAAGAGTTTTTTTTAATAGCCAGGCACATTCTACACTTTACAGGGTGGGTGCACTGAGTCACATCTTGTTGTGTTTGAATCAAGCTATACTTACAAAGGATTTCTAACATATCACTCAAAACAACCTAAAAAATATCAAACATATAACATTTATCTTATAAAGCTAAGACACCAACACAAGAACATATTTTGCCAACTGATGATTCATAGTGAGAATTTGTCCCCTTCTGGAAATGTAAGCCGGATCGACATACAACAATGGCCTCTTCCAAAATAATCACACTTTAAAGCAAATAATGTTTACAGGCCAGCCTGCTCAAATAATTTTCCTCGATGTGAATCGCAATGCACCAACAAAGTATTACTCAGTGAACCTCCATCACAGTACGAGCGCGCCACCCATGCCTCCACCACAAGTCGTGCCGTCGTCCGCGAACGCACATTCTACTCCCTGCATACCTTTTTCAATAACACCGTTTCAGGCAGCTCAGTTTTCCCTTTAAAGTAATCCAGAAGAACCTACCAACCATAATATTCCACCTGTTCAGTACAATCCCTCACAAGGCGCCAAGCCCCACATCCGCAACCTCCCCACAAATGGCGCAATACATGAAAACAAACCAAGGTTCCCCAGAATTTCCAATGTATGGAAGTTAAAGCACTGTTTGAGTATATTATGACGCAGTCATCACGGACTTCGGGATTTCTTAACATCGTACGCAAACGATCAGAGCACTATCGACATTTGTCACTACATGATTGATCTAGCTATGGACTGATTCCTTCTAAAGACGTGTCGTGTCATTTTGTTTTGATTTTTATTTGATTTTTTCCCATCCACCTAGGTTTGGCTCCGTTTGGAGAAGGCTGTGCGTATACACCCTCCAAAACGTAGGGCAGTTACGCACCGGGCTTATACACCCTCCAAAACAGAGGGCGGTTACGCACCGGGCTTATACACCCTCCAAAAATCTTTCAGATGGTTGTACGTGTCAAGAATACGCGCCTTGGCAGCCTTGGAGGCAAGGAAGTGCAAAAATGCAGAGTCCCGTGCGAGAGGCCGGTTCTATGCGTGATAAACATCAAACGATCACTGTGGTATTGTAGCGCAGTGAATTACGGCAGTGCTTCAACATGCTCCGCTGCGCCGTTTGGAAATGTAACCCACTCACGAGTTGATTGCGACCCGCCAGGCCGCGCGTATGGGGTTGTGCCTGAAATTATGGTGTGTTTGGGGCTTTTGTGTGTTATGCACGAAAGCTAAAGAAGTGTATTGTACCCGGTACTGTTCCTGTGTGCGGTAGCCGTTTGGTAACCTGATGTTAATGTTAAAGGCACAGGTTTTTCTCCATGATTTTAGTGTAAGGCGGCATTGGGCCGCTGGTTGCAGGGAGTTGAGTACTTTGCCTGCTGTCTTGCACTATGCTTGTGTGTGTTGTGTTTCTATAGCTGCAGTTTTGAGGACATGTATGAACCTGGTGGTACAAAATATACCGCATCATTGTTATTACATGTTGTAAAGCTGATGCATCTCTTCAATTAATCCAGACACTGCTCAGATAACTAGCCTCTTTTTTATTTTTTGTTTGAAATCATTTTGAGGCATGATACATGTGCAGTACAAATGACAGCTAGCAAACATAATGCCATGAATATTTATGTGTAGGACTAGGTTGCAATCTCATCTAATCACACATTATGGTTGTTTTGGGGACTGAATCCCATGTCACATGAATTTTTCATCATCACATCATCATCCTTAGGTATATGAGTGCATATAAGCACATTATGTGATGGATATATAATTTCCATGAAAGTGATCAGATATGACACTTTTTGTAGCTGTTCCATTGCATGCTTTGTGGTCCAAGCTTCATAACTGGCCTCTTTTTTATTTTTTGTTTGAAATCATTTTGAGGCATGAGATATGAGCAGTACAAATGACAGCTAGCAAGCATAATGCTGCAAATATTTATGTATAGGCTTGGGTTGCAATCTCATCTGATCACATATTATGGTTGTTTTGGGGACTGAATACCATGTGAGGTCAATTTTTCATGATCACATCATCATCCTTAGGTATATGAGTGCATGTAAGCACATTATGTGATGGATATATAATTTCCATGAAAGTGATCAGATATGTCATTTTTTGTAGCTGCTCCATTGCATGCTTTGTGGTACAAGCTTCATAACTTGCTGTATGAGTCTAATTATATCAAGGGTATCATAAAGGCCTAGCTCTTCATTTGAAACCTGATGATAACTATAGCACTCTAATTTTTTTGCGTAGATATACCAGGGACTTGCAATGAAATTGTCAGAAACAGGTACCCAACAGGGAGGTGTGGAAAGAGGGGTGTCTGCAGTCTTTACAGTGAGAAGAACTATCACAAGACTGTGCTGCTGTGAATAGACATTGGACATGCATTGGTGCCCTAAGCCACCAGTAGTGAGAACTGTGCATGCTGTATAGAAAAGAAATGCTGTGACCAGGTCTTTTACTTATGTCCCATTGTCATTGATATCTAGAATAAGGACACTGTATGGCTGCTCCTGGTATTTGGAAAACCATGCTGGAGTGTGTTATGCATGGATAAATACAGGCAGGCTGTGCACTAGGCATTGTCTAATTGTTACAAAAAAGTTTGCTTTCCTCTTTTGCTGACAAATTTAAATTTCTACCTCTGAAAATTATGAAATCTGCATCTCAAACAAGACATGAGCAGAGTGGTAGCTTTTATGCAGCAGTTTCAAAATTGATTTTCCTGTGGGATAAGCAATCCAGAACCATGCATGACATGACTAGCATACTGTGTGTCATGTTGGCCTCATATGACCTCATCTTGACATCCTACCTACATCTTGACTATGTAATGACCAGAAAAAAATTGTAGCTGATGTTTCAGCTGCATAATGCAATCAAATTGAATGTGCAAAATATTTTGAATCATAGATTGCATGAATACAGCAAATTATCATGGTAACATATGGAATGACCTTGACCTGACCCACTGTGGCATCTACATGTCCATGACACAGCACCCTCATTTACCCAAAGAGCATATACTTTTTGAGGAAATGAAGCACTCCAATTGACCCAGCCCCTGCAAACATGTAATGGGGGTCTGCAGACCTTTGCCCTGACCTTGACCTTTCATGTCAGCATGATTTCTAATTGTTATTTCTTTAGGATGCACTCATGGACTCTTTCAGTTTGCATATATATTTCCAACTAAGGCAATTAATTCCCGAAAAAGCTTTGTGAGTTTTGTCTCCCGGCTTTCCAGCCCGGGGCGCTCGGCTGGGACGCCAGGCAATCAATTATTGATAAACCTTGCAGCTGATATTTTGGCCTATTTGGAGAAGAAATAGTCTTGTTATAGTCTTGTTGGATGGGAAGGTGTATGATAAAACCAAGGCCGTCGCCTCTAATGTGTTCTTTTGTGCATATTGCTTGCATCTTGAGAAAATGCTAACATGGAACATGAAAAAATGAAAATCAAAAATTCTTGATATGGTTGAGTTCGTATCACCCTACTTAGGTATGGCGCGATCGAGACAAAGCAGGGCTATTTCGTTTTTCCCAGCAAACTGACGAGCAGGTGCATCTCGGGACCCGAAATCGGTAGAGAATGGCCCATTTTAATCACCCGTTATGCAACATACCAGCATCTCGGCGCCAGCTCGGCACCGAAGGTACAAGAGCCGCACCTGTGCCATGAAGCGCAGGTTAGCACCTTCCGAATTTTGCCTTTTCTCAGCCAATGGCAGCTGACACTAAAACGTTGTCGGTGACAGTAACAGCGACAGTTTCTTATCGCTGAATCTGTGGTGGCGGCGTAGAAATCATGTTGCCTACGTCGTCCTTCATCTCTGGCGGCAAGTAGGCGTGATTCGGCGCAGTACTTTCAGTATCATGTTCACCACAGATGAGCACCACGTCATCAAATCGTTTACAGTTCATGCATTGGTATATGGGGCAGCACGTCGACAGGTACTGATGCGCTTTTTCCTCACGCTGCACAGTCTCGCATCGTGATCGCAATGGGAAACCCACCCTAGGTTGCGTGGGAACTGGACAAAAGGGAAACAGCGGCATCAGAGGCCGAGCCCGAGGATTGCCTTGCCCTGCAGTTTTTAGTATCATAATTGTAAAACCTGCATACCACTTGAATAATCTCACACAATGATACCCCGTGGCACAGACAGCGGCGGCACAGATAGCACGCCCCCACCCCCTCCCTTAGGATCCCCAAGGGCTCGCTCAGAGCCCTTGGTATCGACGATTGAGGGCCCGTTTTGAGTGCCAAAAGGTCTGACTGGCGGTCGCATTAAGGTGCCTGACGTTGCTGGCTGGGCTTGCAAATACCAGTCGGAGGGCTCTTTGTATCGATTGCAGGGGACCCCTGCGTCGATAAGAGCCAATCGGTCGGTTGGGCACCACCAGAACCAAACATCTGGCTCCTCGGTAGTCTAGGTCTGAAGACCCATTTCTAAAGCAACGGCAAAGCCGGGGTTCCTATGTCGCCCAGGGTCCCAAGTGCCTGACATAAGGTCCCGCGTTGGGAAGGTGCCCCGAGGCCGTCAAGAGCCGTGTTCGAGGGGATCCGAAGACCTTGGGACCAAAGCTCAAGGGCCTGGGCGGAAGACAGAAGGGCCAAAGTGCTGGCTGTAGGTTACGACTCTCCGGTGGTAGCGCCGTAGCCTCAAATATCAGTCAGAACGTCTTTTCCACCGATTGGGGACCCCTAGGGCAATGTGGACCCCTACTTCAGCGAGACATCACTAACACCGAACAGTTGTTTTCGTGCCGGTCTGAGCCCTGAGAGCCCGCTTCCCAAGCATGGATGAGGCCGAGCCCGAGGATTGCATTGGTCTGGACCCCTGCGACAACGAGAAGCCCTTGTGGCGGTCAGTGTCCCACAGTGCCCAACAGTAGCTCCTCTTAGGCTTGCAGCCACAACAGCTAGCCAAATCATCTGTCGTCTGAATGCATCGCGTCTATCTGGATGCCAGTGTTGTGGTTACCAGAAAACGACTGTGCTTCATCGTAGGGTGACGATCTGGACACAGCACATCTATTGCGTATCATATATTGCATATGTGTATAAAATGTAATGCGTAAAAGGCAAAGGTAAGTAATAATTTATAACACACATATGTAAAGCATAATGTATAAAACGCATATGTATATTAAACGTAAATGACAGCTAAAGCCACGCGTCCACCGCCGCTGGTCAAGCATGTCGCAAGTCAGGGACAACGACATGACACCACATCCGAACGTAAGGACATCATGTTTGGCGCTAAAAGAAAATAACTGTTCATCGACCCACTATAACGTAACTATGTACAGCTACGCATAATTAACCAATACGCTGCCCCCAAACACGAGTGCACCCATGCAGCCATGGCACTCACAGATCCATGACGACCTACCGACGGCTAGGGCAGGTCGTCGTGCTGCATCTGATATGGCCAGCTTAAAACAATGTAGCAATTATCTGAAGTCCAAAAGAAGACGGCTACTTGCCACTCAAGGCAGCCTATGCTCTGGGGAGAAACTACCGCTACTTGCACAGTGAACAGATAC